TGATCATCATCACCAACAGCATCACTATCTTCACCAGTCTGATGATGATCATCATCAGCGCTATTGTCATCATCAGCAACAGCATCAACAACAACAACATTATCATCAACAGCATCATAATCCGCGACCCTGAAGCTCCGAACCCTTTTCTGGGTTAGTTCTTCGCACCAGACCCATGGCTGATGCTCCTGAGGGCCGCAATCGCCATGAGGTGATCCAAACAACAAGAAGAACAACACCAACAACAACAGCAACAATAATACGGGGAATAAAAGACAACACCGCCAGAGATCCGGGTAGACTCCTCCCTTTCCTCGCCCTCATCCTGGGCGGTGGGGTGGGCGTCCTTTTCCAGCATCCCGCCCGCGCAGGCCCGGCTGATGAGGGGAGCCTGTCCCGGGCGGCAGAGCCGGGCTTCGTGAAGGAGAGAGGCGGTGGAAAGAGAAGAGAAGGGGTGACAGAAGCAGGAGCAGCAGAAAAAACATCGGGCCGCGCCAAATCGTCAGAATATCGGAATCGAATCGGATCGAGCCGGACGGAATCGATATCGAATTGATTCGACGGGATGCGAAAGGAACGGATCCTGAAGGGAAACTACGACAACGAATGCATGAATAAGCGAGGCGCTGAACACGCAGGTTGACTAACACGGGCACGGGAAGAGATCTTCCCATGCCCCCAAACTGAAAAGGGCCGCGGAAAGCAGAAAATTGAACGGAAAAGAGAAGGCAGGAACGGTGAATAGGCTACCGTTCGAGTCTGGTGCTCAAGCGAGCCGGGCTGTGTCCCGTCGGTCGCTGCACGCAAACGGTGTCGCGACCAACGAAGGCTCATAAACAGTTGCAGGGGAACGCGAGGACCCCGTTTCGGCACATCTCGCATATACAAGCCTTCGAGCCAGTCCAAGGCGGAGTGGCCCCCACGGCGCCAACCGCATACGCGTTTTACGGCGAGCGTGGCAGGCATGGCGCATGCCCCTGGCAGAACAAATAACACAAACCGAAGCAGGCCACCTTATCCCGCGGCAAGGGGCAAGGCCAAACGAGGGTTTTATACTGACCAAGTCCCTTATAGAAAACTGCCAAGGGAACGGGGAACGCAGACAATGGAATAAGCATAGAGAGACGACGAACGTGCTGCACGCCAGAGAGTCTGCTGCTCCACGAACACAGTTCATGGCAACAGCCCCCCAATTGCATGACTCACTAAGCCGCAGTTGCGAACGTCGTTCGCCGCATGCGGGCGATGTCCCCATTGTCCTGCCATGCCTCAACCGCGAATGTAATTCACGACGCGCGGTGGTCTTTGCCTCTCCCTACGTCGCATTCGCGAACACAGATCGCTACACGCGACCGCCGAAGTTACGTTCAGCAGCCGAAGTACATGGAGCGAGACTTCCGGCTGCTCACCCCGTCGGCGAAACGCCCCCCCCCCCCCCCCCCCCCCATCCGCCCCGAGGTCGCCGCGGCGGGAGCTGGGCGCGGTCTTCTCGCGCAAGTCGCCCCCCAGTCTGACCGCGGCGCGGTCGCACTCGAGCCCCCCGCACATCGCGTCCAAGATTGGCCCCCGGCCGATGCCCCCCGTCGTCATGGGGTCAGCCCTCGTGGCACGAGTACCGCACCAGAGCGTCTCAAAAATCTGCTTGGCGCGAAGCTGGTCAGAGAGCCACCGCAGGCGGCCTGGCTCGCCGCGTTCCGAAGGTGGGCGCACAGGATCCACGCCGATGGCCGCGAACACGGACATCCCGTCCACGACCTGGCTCGCCGGCATGGCGTAGCCCCCTTCCTTTCTAAGCATCCGGATCTCCTCGCCTGAGACTGAGCCGCGGAACGTCACGTGGAGCGCGAGGGGGCAGGCCCGCGCGCCATCGGCTGCGCCGCGCGCGGCGAGCAGCTCGGGGCCGAGCGACGACCTGCGCAAGTTTGAGCCAGCGGCCCGCGGCGTCGAGCAAGTGGTCGAACTCCTCGCCGCCGCTGCGGCGCTCGCCGAGGCGCGCGCAGTCGGCGCCCCTTATGCCGCGCCCCGCCCCCCCCCCCCCCCCTCGCGAAGGACCCGTCGCTGCGCGCGCAGGTCTGGCTGGCGCATTTCACGGCAGGACAGGCGACTGGCGAGGACCACCGGAATCAAGCTGCATGGCGCGTCGCATGAGCAGCTTGCACTCGGCCCGACGCAGCGCCGCGACGCGCGCTGCGATGCGGTGCTGGGCGAGCAGGGCGCAAGCAGCTGCCCCCAGGAAGGCAACGAAGAGGTTGGGTAGTTGACCTCCTGCGGTCTCGTCGGCCTTCGGAATAACCAGGTCGCCGTGCCTGATCGGCATCAGGGCGTCGATGCTCTCGACCTGGTCGAGCGCCGCGCCGCCGTCGGCTCTGCGGCGATGATGGGCACCGCGGTCGGTGAGGTCGTCGCAACCCCTTTTCATCTTGCAGAAGACGCCCTCGATGTGGCCGATGGCCTTGTCGACGCGCTCCATTTGTGTCTAGTGGTCTTCAGCTCGCCAAAA